CTGTCAGCTATGATTTTTTTGTCCGATATAAGGCAACCACTGCGTAATAACGTCAAGAACCTTTTGCGGCATTACCCATTTTTATTGCAGCAGTAGCTATATCAAATTTATTGATAACATTAGCTGCAATTAGAATAGAAAGATATAGCGGCATTATTCATTCACTTACTGGATCAATTAATAGAAATAAAATGAACTTTATTATTATTGCCATCTGGTTCTTTGCACTTGTAAGTGCAACAATAATCATTTTTGTTACCGATTATGATCACCGAGACTTAATTGACTGCTCTGGATTACTTTCTCAAACTCATTTCAATCCCAGTTTAGTTTCATCAGCAATTTTTGCCGTATTAACTTCTTTATTACCCCCTTCGATCATCGTTGTATGTTATACATGCATCATTATTAAATTGTACAATATAAATCATCCAATCGAAAACTCGAGATATAAATTACAAACTATTAAAAAACGAAATTCAAGTATAATTTCGTTATTAATTATCAGTACGCTCTCTGCTTGTGGCATTATACCCTATGCTCTTAATTATGTCTGGATTTCATTTCAAAAGTCTTATAATCCAAATTTTACCAATATGCTAGTCTCTAAATATTCCATGTTGTTTCGTGTAACTACGGTAGTAATGTTTATCCCTGGTATATTGAATCTATTTTATATAACTTTGCTAGCATCAATTTCAAAGATGAATTTAAATTGTTGATTCGTAGATTTAGAACTTGTTTTAGTTTATCGCTAATAAAAAGTCGAAATAACCAATAATAACTTTTTATCCCTAAAAGTTGGTAGACGATTTTAAAAAATGATAAAATTATTTATAAAATATGCCTTTACTTCTCAATACTAGCCTGATATGAATAATTCTGATTTAAAATTAGTTAACCATACTAAATACCTTTCATTCTATCTTGTATTTGCTAAACTTTTTTGAGATATTGAATGGACAAAAATTTTGATTTTAGATTGTACTCGAATATCTTAGTGTTAAAGGTAGCATACAGAAAAGAAAGGCAACGTGTTATCACTGTTCTCCACTCATGAAAAGTTCAATTAGTTTGGGTCTCGTATTTTAAATGGTGGTAAATAAGTTTATTACTAAAATGTAATAACACTATTGACCTGGAATGTGTTTCTTTTAGCTAAAAATTATCACTTACTCTAAATTCTTCAATAACACTCTATAGCATAAAAATTTAGCAAGCTTCATGTGAACTATACCGTTAAATTTTAATAATTATTACTGGTTTATGATTGCATTTATTGCTTATAACTTGTCTTAACTAAGTCTTCATAGGACCTTCTGTTGACTATAAGGCATCGACTTAAAAAAAAAATTGGTTATAGATCGCCACTGGAGTCCGTTAATTTCTTCTCGCTTAACTGTTGGCTCTTTTTCATTTATAAGTATTAATGTGCTTTAGATTATTCTACCGAGCTGAAGAATTTCAGGATGTTCATTACAAGCACTACAAGACATAGCGCAATATTTAATTAACATAATTTACCATATGTTACAACTCTGGATTTGTATATGGGTCTTAAAAACTAACGTCACTAGTACTCGTGTCCCCAACTGACTTAGGAGACTTATCATAGTTTAACTTAAGCTGGATTATATAAATTGATTACTAAACAATCTTTAATAATATTTTTAATCACATGAAAGTATTTTGCAATATTATTTATAATTTTTACAGTAATTCTACTATCTTAGATTACTACTAGCTATTATAATATAACTATCAAAGAGCATCAAGCTCCGTAACAATTCTTAACTTCTATTCTTAGCTTAGAGCTCGTAAATTTATTAGGAAATATACTCCCCAAATTTTTTTGTTTATTATTCTACTTTTTCCTCATTTCTTGTCTAAAGTATTGTTTTTGGACTTCGTATTAAAAAACAGTAACATCCACGTGATCAAAATGCTAATAATACTTCAACTACATTTAGTTATAATAAGCTATATAACTGAATAGGTAGAGGTTTTTATAGTAATTAAATGCACCGTATTGGGACGTAGCTGCTGTTTAATACATATTAATTAATGAATTATAAGATTTGTACTTTAAGATGTTTCTGTAACAAAGGCCTATTCTACTCTTAAAACTGAAGGTTTCCTACGAATTGCAGTAATTATATACTGATTGCCTAAGATTCGATCAAAGTGCATTTAATCGACATTACATTGTGCACAAATTTCGATTTTAATACTAACCACGGTATTATTGCGCTAATTGTAATAATGTTTCTATTGATTATATTGACTACAACTAATTTTAATCTTTCACAACATCGATGAAATCAAATTTGACTTGTACCACATAAATGAGTTTTACTTGGCTAGAATTATATACTATATATCTGTTAACAATATCGTCAAAGAAAATGAAAGTTTATAATATCTATAAAAATAGTCTTTAATCATTTTATAATTATATATCAAACATATAGTATATCAGGATACTGGTTTGTGTTCCCATAGTAATTAGATTTGTCAATGTCTCCTACTGGCATAATTACTTCATTTTCAAGTATTATATTTCCAGATAGATCTGGTCCTACCTGACCGATATCTGCAGTATAAATTTAGCAATACCTTATAAATGCAAGCCAAAGCACCATTTCTATAAATTATTCAAGTTGATCTTAGCTTAATTTAAGCAGCTTACATTTAAAACTATCAGCTGTTGAGTGTGTCTTATTAACATCCGACAGGTCATCTGAGCTAATAGTAGCAACAAATAGGAGCAATGATGATTACAACAGTTTGAATTACTAAATTATTTTAAATTCAATAATACTAGAAGAGCAAATATGCCTAAATATCACGTGATCAACTATAATTGCAGTATTTATGATTGACATACGTTCTGCCGAGGGCGACTTCACACAGTAATAGTAATCCAGTAGAATTTGTATAAGTAGCTTCGCAATCTAGCACTGCCTATTAAGATTTGTTAAGAGTATTGAAGCTTTAAGTCTACACATTTGGATTGGATTTATATTAGAGAATCGTCATTATTTCTAACGAAGGCAAGTTACGAGTTTCATTACCTTCCACATCATATCTACAGCAAATATTCAAAATATAAAAATATTTTCCACTCAGAATGCAATAGTATGAACAAATTCTACATTTTAGAGAATGAAATATATCTACCTACCTGAGAAATCAATTCCTTTTTCTAAATTATTATTTTTCCACTACATAGAAATGTTTATTCATGTCAATTATGGTTATTTAAAATTGCAAATTAATACGTTTTCGAATATTTTAGAAAATTTTTTAAATACATCGATAGCTGCTTCATCTAATCGACTTGATATCAACACACTACTGTAATTAGTTGAAATCACTAAATGCTATATTAGAATGAAATTTTTCTCGCTACTACGTTACATTTAGTTATCAGG